TCATAGTGTCGCCCTTTTGACTTTGGAGCTCAGCTTTTACTCTTTTGTCTATATTTGTGTTAAATTAGAAAGAGCTATGACTCCAAAAACTTTTTTTAAACTATTTTTTACACCTTTATGTAAGAACATGTCAAAAGGTCAAGTATCTTGTAATATTAAACTTCTGTTAACCAAATGATATGCTATTTATAGTGAAAGTGTTTCCACGGATGAGTATAGGAAAATGCTAGAAACCACTCAGAGGTGAGTTGCGTTCAGTGAACATACATTCACACAAGGAACACTCCATCGCCATTCACCTTCAGCTGTCACACTGAAATTAACCTGCCGGTGGGGGCTTGGGTGACAGGAAAGGATAAACCGTTCAGTAGCCATCACATATTTATCTTATTCCAAACTCTTAGAACCTAGAATTAAAATAACTCACGTGGTGGAAACCTGGCAGACATTGTGCATAAGTCTGTGTCTGAGCAGGCATGAGCCAGATCAGTCGTAGTTTGAATTTTGTAATATTTTAAAAATAAAATATACTCACTCAAGTGGAAACCTTTAATACCAGGAGAACAGATTAATAAGCGTGGTACATTTTACAGCAGTGAAAATGAACGCACCACAGCTACCTGCACCGACAGGGGTGAATCTCAGAGCCACACACTGGGTGAAGAAGCTGAAGAACATTGCAGAGCGATGCAGTCTACTCACAGTACAAACTCGAGTTCAGACACTAGCCAGCCACTTGCAAACGTGGTAAAACCGTAAAGGAGACAAGGGGCGCGCAGACAGAAGAACAAAGACAGCAAGTTAACAGCAGGAACTTGAACTAAAACCTGAAAATAAACGATAAAAATAAAAGGACAAAAACAGAACAGTCCCTCCTAGCTTGTGGAGACCCGCTTTGAATCAGGCTTTAGGTTAAATTTTTTTTTTCACTTAAGAGTAAGCAACCACCATTGATTTTTAGGTTATTTTTCCTAGGTAGTTGAGCTCCACATTACAGACGAGCCAACCTGTTCTCTAAAGGATCTGCAGGAAAGCAGTCCAGCCGGACTGACTGCCCCAGTGCCGGTGCCTCTGTGGTGATCATCTCCCCAGTTCCAATTTGATAGAACTGCACACCAGCGCAGTGGCACCGTCTTAAACACACCGTGCAGAAACCCAGATGGTCAAGTTATTCTCGCTCTTAAACAGGCCATCCATGTAGGAGACTGTCCGTGTCCTATTAGTTGTCCGCAGAGTTCCCTTCCTGGGGACCGCTTAAGTCAGAGCAACCCCTCTGTCCGCCAGCGCGTCTGCCCCTCACCCCGAGCTGGTCTGGATCCACACGAGCCTCCAGAGTTGGGAGGACAAGGTTCACCTCCACGTGCTCCAGGGACCCGTTCCGCCGCCTGAGCTCCCCTTCTCTCCCTGCGTGGGCATCGCTGGGATTTACAAACCCCTGCAGAAGATGGGGGGTCTGTTGAATTTAGAAGGATATCAGCAATAAGTATTCTGAAGTTCTGCATTCAATCACTTGGAGGACATCCTAAAGCTGGCTTCTTTCTGATTTTTTTCGTGTTTACCTGTTAGCAGTTAAGCAGATTTGAAGCCCCTCCTGTCATGCTGATAAAGACAGGGACAAAAAGAAGTATTCGGATTATCCAGACAGAGTCGGTCCAGGACAGGAGTCAGCAAGCTTTTTCTGTAAAGGGCCAGACAGTAAATATTCTAGACTTTCTATGTTGCTTGGCTAGCTGGGATCCAGTAGAGCCCAAAAGCCCAGGTGGCCATTTCTAGCTGCTAAGAAAAAGTGTCACGGAAGAGGGAACCTGGGATTGGAGACCAAGAAGAGATGGTCACCAAAGTGGCGGGAGTGCAGAGGTGTCCAGGCAAAGGGAGCTTCTCGGGCAAAGGCACGGAAGTGGGACGGGCTGTGACTTGAGGAACCGCATGTTAAGTTCTCGTGGGGGGACAGGTCGAGTGCTCAGGACCCACGGGAAAGGTGAGGTTAATTACTGAGCTGGATGATGGAGCGCCTCTAGGCTGTGCTGGGGAACTTGGACTTGTGTATGTCAGAATAATGGCTTTCAACACGATTTAGCCTCTTAACAGAGGGCTTTTTGTGGAAGCTTAGCATGTGAAATAACCTTAGGGGTAACTATTGCATTTACCAGAAACTGGGGGACCCCACCTCTACTGTGCAGCACCTTAGAAGGGGTTCTACAAAAGCCGCAGGCTCTAAGGGCCGCCTTCTGCGACAGGTGCTCTGAGGACCAGTGGAGGGTGATGGAGAACCACACACTCAGATTTGTGTTTCCAGACGATCACGTAAGGTGATGTGGAGGATGGTTCTGGAGCAGGTGGGACTAGAGGCAGGGTTGTGTGTGCTATCTTGAAAGAAGAGATTGTAATCTGCACTCTGGCATTCTACTGTCTCCTTCAGCTCCCACGATTTCTAATGAGGTCATCCTGTCAGCTTACTTGAAACTCCCATGGTTGACTCAGAAAGGAGACTGAGATTTTTTTCTGAACTTGGCAGAGCCCAACCCTAGGGTATTCCCTGACTGGACCCTGCACTGATGCTTTAAGGGGAATCTTTCTGAAGTGACGCTGCTCTGACTTGTCTGGTGCCCTATAGAAGGCTGCGCAGTGGCCCAGAGAAGAGGCGCTGAGAACCTGAACTAACAGTAGCAGTGGGGAAGGCACATTGGAGGGAACGTGGTAGAAAACTGCTCACAATTTGGATACGGAGAAAGAGAGGAAGGAGGAGCCCGGAGTGAGGGTTCTGACTCCGGCGCCTGGACGGATGATGGTACCGTTCTCAAGTGACAGGAGCAATAACTGTCTCAAATTTGTCTTGTTCGCTGTGGTTTACGAAGTGCTTTCGTGTACATGGCACCGTTCATCCCCCATTCTCCCCTTAGTGCTCCTGTGGAGTGACTTCCACTGGGCGCCTTCATTCTCCTTGACCTTGTAAACATTGGGCTTCATTCCTAGTCCCCCCTGTAAAACTCTCACTCCCTTGATCTCGTGACATTTCCTGATCCCCATGTGTTTCTCCGGTTCCTCTTGTCTGTGTGTGGGCAGCCGCTGGTGTCTACACCTCACTCCCCCATTGCTCCCTTGCTGATCCGGTCCATCATGGTGGTTTCCTTTATATCAACAAAGACCTCTCTCTCCTCTCTCTCATACACACACCCACCCACCCTGTCCTCCTTTCTGACCTTCAGTGTATTTCCAGGAGTTGAGCTAATTAATAATCATCTTCCTCCTCTATTTCTTTACTCCCTCTTTATGTTAATGACTGCATTTCCCACTCCCCAGGGCTCAAAACCTTAAAACTGTTTGAATCCTTCCTCCACTCTTATACCTAATCATTCATCAGATTCTCTTCATTCTCTCTTCAAAATGTCATCTACCTCTTATTCAGTACCACTGTTCTAGTTCAGACCCTTATTGTCACTTACCTACATCATTTCGTCACCCCTAACCTGTCACCTCTCCATTAGTATCCATTTCCTCCCATCCATCATATGTGTTCCTGCCAGAAGGAGTCTGCTAACATATACCCCAGTCATTTTTCTCCCTTGTCTGAAAATCTTTACAAGGTCCAAACCACCAGGAGAATAAAGATCATGTTCATTTTTCCAGAATCCAGAACCCCTAGTATGTGGGTGTAAGCTTGCTACACTTGCTTTCTACTATTTCCCACCCTGCAGCCTACTTTCCAGACAGATTATTGCCCGGTTCTTACACAGCTTGCTATGTGCACACCCCCATATCTGCGTCATCTGTTCCTTCATCCTGGACTTTACCGTTCCCAGCCTCCAAATAGCCAAAGTGGTACCCATTACTGAGCTTTGAGTAAAGGCTAAGAAATTGGTGGCAGAGGGCATGGCTTATTTCTCAAACATGAGGAAATAATCCTACAGAGAAATAAATGCATCTGCATCCAAAAAAACAAAAAGTGCTACATAATTAGTGAGGTCTTCCCTAGAGCTCTGCCATTGAGGCAGCCTGTGTCTCTCTTGGACTGCTCCAGCATGGGCTCTGCCTCATGGTACTAACCACTCCCTGTGTGCCGTGCACACACCTGGTGTCTCCTGCCAAACTGTAAGCTCCTTTAGGTCATGATTTATTTCTGCCTTATTCCAGCAGCTCTTCCAGCCTTTATCATTGTGCGTCATGCCTGGTGGGGGCTTAGTCAACATGTGGAGAAAGAAAGAATCAGATCCCACGGCAACTCAGTCAAGTAGGCCAGGCAAGTAACATTAGCTTGTCAGAAAACAGCCTCAGAGAGGTTCAGAGGCCGCCTGAGGCCTTGCTCCGTGGTGCCCACGTGCCAGCTGAAAGTTCGTCTTTCCGCTGCCCAGTCCGGGTGGGTTTCCTCTCAGCACGCTGCCTCTCAAAGTGGCCAAGCTCAGGCAGGCGGAACAGAAGACGTAAGTGTGTGTGAATTGCGTCCAGGTTGGAGGTTTACCGTTTCCAAACTCCAAGAGTTAAAATTTCTTATAAAAGTTCTTTAAAAAATAAATAAAAATAAAAGGATGCCTCTCTGTCATTTCTGAGGACAGCAGTTGTGTAATAACCCATTTCTTGGTTTTCAGAGGGGCCTGTGTATATGGGCTGTGTGGGTGTGGGTGGGTGTGTGTGGGTGTGTGGGCACGCATGCACGTACACAAGAGGAAGAGGAGACAAGGACAGTATTTGGTCAAGTCGGGATAATAATCCATTAACGAAGCCGAGGGCAGACAGGAGCTACCTAGCCAACTCCCAAGTCCTGCAAAGAGGCCACACCCCTTGAACCAAAACCCATCTGTCTCTGCCATCACTGATGGCCACCCTCAGAGAAGGACAGCACGCAGGTTTGGAAGATCCTAGAAAACCTGCTGCCTTATTCTCTAAACCATCAGTCATTTCCTTTCTCTCCTAGAGTCATGTTTGAAGCATTGATTTTATCTCCCGGGTTTTGTTTGTTCGTTTGTTGATACTCTATTAACACCTCTTTTGTCTTCCTTTACCAGAAGAAGAGGAAGAGCAGGTGCCCACAGATGGGGGGACATCCGCAGAGGCCATGCAGGTTCCCTTGGAAGAAGACGATGAACTGGAGGAGGAGGAAATTATTAACGATGAGAACTTCTTGGGTAAGAGGCCGCTGGACAGTCCGGAAGCTGAAGAGATGCCCGCTATGAAGCGGCCACGCCTGCTCAGCACGAAAGGGGAGACCCTGGACGTCGTGCTCCTGGAGGCTCGGGAGCCGCTCAGCTCAATAAATCCCCAGAAGATCCCCCCCATGCTGTCTCCCGTCCACGTGCAGGACAGCACGGACCTCGCCCCTCAGTCGCCCGAGCCCCCGATGTTGGCTCCGGTGGCAAAGTCACAGATGCCAACCGCAAAACCCTTAGAAGCCAAGTCGTTTACACCTAAAGCAAAGACGAAAACGGGTTCTCCGGGACAGAAGACGAAATCTCCTAAGACGGCCGCGTCCCCAGCAGTGGTCGGTAGTCCTATTCGGTCCCCAAAAACTGTATCCAAAGAAAAGAAATCTCCCGGACGTTCCAAGAGCCCCAAGAGCCCCAAGAGCCCCAAGGTCATGACTCACATTCCCCAGGCACCTGTCCGACCTGAAACGCCAAACAGGACTCCTTCAGCTACGCTGAGCGAAAAAAGCAGTAAAGAGACCCTTCAGGTAAAACAAGCCCAGGCGCCCCCCGACGCCGGGAAACTGAACAGCGAGCACCCCCCAAAAAAGGCTGTCGTGGCCGATAAAACCATCGACGCCTCCATCGACGCCGTGATCGCCCGCGCCTGTGCCGAGCGGGAGCCGGACCCCTTCGAGTTTTCTTCTGGGTCGGAATCCGAGGGAGACATTTTTACCAGCCCGAAGAGGATCTCGGGCTCGGAGTGCGCCGCGCCCAAGGCCGCCGCCGCCTCGAACAGTTTCTC